TTTCATAGCATTTTAATTAAAAAATTTAAACAGTGTAATAAAATATGTAGGTACCTTCCTATAATTTTTTATAACACGGATATTTGAAAAGAGAATTGTTTGTATTAATTAAAATAAAACATATAATTAAAAAACGTTATATAGATATTTTTAAATTGTGAAACTTTTTTTTTCATCTCAAATGTATTACAAAATTGAATTCTAATTAAAAACTGATCAGCAATACGTTTTATCATGCCAGATCTACTTTTAAATTAAGCTGTTTTAATATTTAGCCAAGACCACACATTATTTATGAATATGATGCCATATTTCTTGTGGCACATTAATTATACTCGTACTATTTATTGATATATTATAAGGCGCGTTCAAGAACTGTATATAATTACTAATATACTTATAGCCAATAGGTAGAGTCTACAAAAAATTTATTTCAATTCGTTATTACGATATAAGAACTAAATTATTTACTTGTATAAATATTAATGATATTAAAAAAAAATTATCTAATAATTCATAAAATATACATGAATAATTATAATTACAACAGCTATCAGAATCAAAATGTATTCAGCGTTGATAATAATTTAAAAAAAAAACTTTACTAGTTATACCTACATACTATACAACAAAAATTCTATATAAAAAAATAAGACCCTGTCGTTTCCAAAACTGCATAGGTCACTTTTACCTCGTACAAGACGAATCTATACCTACTTATGGTGGACAGATTATGTTTGTACAACTAATGGGTGCTTTCTAAAAGGACTTGAATCTCGACAATATGTATTTAATAGTAGAAATGAAGATCGTAAGAATGGCCAGTGTGAATAAATACATTATAGTCGCGAGAATTTGTTTGTCGTTCATATGCCACCATCGCGTGGGAAATGCACTGAAGCAATAGTAAAAATGGAGGCATTATTATTGCAAAATAACAAATAAGAAACATTTCATACACGTACGATAATAACAGTTATATACTATATGGTTTACTTGCTAAAAGAAGGTTTAAGAGTTTATATTTTAACGGATTACATTAACTTAAAAAATAAACATAAGTTTATTTTTGAATAAAATTTCTCCCTTAGAAAATTTGTTTTGAATATGGTCTTGTATGTGTGCACACATTTTTATGATTAAAGACATGTTTGACAATTTACCACACCTCTTCATAAACCAAGTCATCTGCGCATAACATAGAAAAAATACTTTTTAAAACATTTCTGTTATCACCTTATTTATGTATACTTACACAAAGTAATTTTAATAATATTACATCAAAATATTTTTAATATTTTTTATTTGTTTAGCTCGGATTTACTTATATATTTTTATTGTTTTTAATAAGTATTGAGGCGTATTTCTAATGAACAAACAATACAAAATATTTAATACTATTATACGTTATTTTGCGAACCACAGCATTCTTATATTTTCTTTTAACTCTATAGAAAATTTGGGAGTTTATGTTTTGATATTTCGATTTCGAAATGCGTACGTTATTAATCCATTTGAAAAATAATAATAAATTGATTGTTTGTCCTCCAACACGACATCATTTCTACTGACGAACCTATTATAGTAATATTATGCCATTAATAGCGTATATACAATATAACATAGCAATACATTATACATGATTATATTATCCTGTGAGCAATTTGATTATTCGTGCAATATTACATTATATTATATTATAATTTATATTGTACATTGGAGGTCAGGACTATATTATAATACGATATAGTTATACGTAACAGGTGAATATTATAATGTACAGTGTGCATACGGTGGCTTTTTTTATAAAGTAGGTTAAATGCAGTGATAGATCACATTTGGTCTATATTGAATAAAAAATTTAATTCAAACACAATCAATTACTATACAGTATATAAAGAATACTACAACTATAGGTACTGTTTATTTGACACGAAATTTACAAGCCTGATAACTTGTTATATATAGAAACAATTCAAAATTAATTAATAACAGTTGATATTAAAAGTGTTTATTTTTTTATAAAATATAATATAAGAATGGGTGTATAAAACATAATATAAAGTATTATCCGAGATAATAAAAATAATTTATATAGGTTAAAATACCATATTATATTGTGATAAAATAACGGATGCCAACACAACTCAACTTAATGGGATATTTTCATTTCTATAAATATAATACTTATATAATACCTATAATATACTATTAATTACCAATAAAAAAAATATCAACATTTTAATCTCGGGTCTTACTGTATTGAGTAAAAAAAATAAAGTAAAAACTGTAATTAAATTAACATTATATGTATTAGATTATTACATTGTAGCGTGCATCTGGTAGATAAAAGAAATAATAAATATTATATGGTTTTCGTTTGAGACATCTGGATCGAAGTACAGCCGAGGGACAACGCGTGCACTGTAGCAGCAATAATGGGCCGCTTTTCGGAATTGTGTTCATTTATCAAATTTTAAACCACCCATCCAATGTCTTCTCAATACACAACCAAAAATCATTTTTCTTTTTATTTGCCCTGCACTAAGTTTAAGACACGCGCTGCGGGTGGTATAAGAAGTCCGATTTGTAATATAGTCAAAAATATATGTCCATTCGTACATACCTATAGAGGAACATCAAAATTCTATAGATTTACCCCTTGCAGCGTAAAGATTGTTTGATAATACAAAAAATAATTTTCAAACGTGCAATTTCTATACAAGTACTTTATACATTTGAATGACATGGAAATGTATTACACGTTACAGTGAAAATAGGTAGGTACTGAAAAAACGTCGATTTATGGTTTATGGTTTCTTTATAATAATAATATCCAAGTGATTGAAAACGACAAATGCTTGGTTTATAGGTACTGAATTTAGTCACCGTTCACACTATAGTTGCTTTATTGAATAGCCCAGAACAAAAACTTATTATAGTTATTATTATTATATAGAAAATTTTGATGACTGCAATGGTTGAAGTACTAAAAACAATCGTACTTACGCAAGTAAATTAGTGAAACCACCTATTTTAATAATTAAATTGGCCGGAAGTTTAAAATTAATGTTTTGAGAATAAAAAAATAAATAAATAAATGAATTGCGCTCGCCACTGAGAGTAATCATAAATTGATGTATAATTTATTGTAGATATATCTCATTAATTTAAACGCACAAATATAGTAAAATATGGTCGTTGGTCAATAAAATGCAGCTATATATACAATATTATGATCTTTGTTCATGTTTCAAGTCGAGTTTTTATGTTTAAAAAACATTTTTTTTTTTTTTTTATATAACTTGGTTAAGCAAGTATTTTAGTAGGTACTATTACAGATGATTCAAATTAAAAACCAATACACCCAGAGTGTTTACTGTTTATATCGTTATCTAGTTGAACGAGGATGTTCAAATGTTGCTTATCAATAACCTAACCAGGGTGGAAGTAGAATGAAAGACATGCAATACTATACAATATTTGTTCAATTTGTGATTAAAAAAAAATCGTAAGAGTAACTTTTTAAATATAATATTAGCCCTTGGTTATCGGTTCGTAAAAATATTAGTTAAATTGAAAAAAAAAAATTAAAACCAACATTTAAGGCATGAACCGCCACGTTTTCCTATATACTCAGCCATGCTGCAGGAAAATTGAAAAACATGATAGCGCTTATGTCGTTTGCATTATAACACGGAATGCCATATTTTTACACGTATCTCTTCATTAAATACAATAAATTAATTGACTTTTAAGACTTCAATAACCAAAAGCAAAATTTAATAAACATTTGTAAAGCTAATATTATGCAGGTTATACGACCAAAAATGTTGACTATACATATTTATATATAAAAAATTGTGTTAAAATCTACATTCTCAGGCTATTAAGTCAGGTATATATTAGTCTGTTATAGGCATTATCACATTCCAGAGCTGTCGCATTGGTCTTAATTAGGAAACTCAACATTTATGGCAGTTTGCTCGTTAAAAAAAAAAGACAACCCAGCTATCTGACACTAGATACACAGTAAGTAAAATATGATTTGGTCGGATACATATAATAAACCGGTGCCGAGAGAGAAGGGAATGATGAAATGATAACGACTGCGCCGCCGTGTGTGTAGCATATAATATATTTTTACAACGTTAAAAACCGTTATTATACAACATTTATAATATGTATAAATACAATCTTTTAATTTGTTCTCCAAAAAGAAAGAAGATGAAAAAAACGTCATTGTCCCTCCCGCGTATATTTCGGAGGCAACGACTGCAACAACAACAAACACACAAACAACGACGACGTGCGTGGAATAAAAAAATCGTCCGTATATGCGAAGTACATGAAAATAATAATATGATAGTGTGCACCGGCGGTCCACAGATAGATAGATAGATCCCGACGATGATCGCACCGCAGAACAACAATAATAATAATAATAATAATATTCGTTCGAAAAAAAAGACCATTGTTACTGTTTTTTTTTTTTTGTTTGTTTAAATACATTATTCACGGCTGACAGGTGGTGTCAAACTAAATGGAACTCCCCTTTTATGCGCGCTGCAGTCGTCGGGCACAACTCTCGGGCGCAGGCCATTAAAGTTCTTTTTTCAACTATACACAGCGCGTATACACACACACACACAAACTTCGGTCGTACTAACGTATATTATTCTATTATACATTTTAACACACACACACGTGATATACGGACATAGGTACAAATAATATTTCTTGCGGCGTGTACACTCCCTCAACAGTTATAAATGTGTACAAAATATATAATAATGTACGTATATAATACGCGCGCGGTGAAAATGACTATATACCTACGATCTAGACCGGACGGTACAAATGTGTGCGCGCGCTCGCCGATCGCTGGCTCGAACACGGTATAACATTATATACGGTGTTATAAAAAATAAATAAACGATATGAAATGATAAGTATAACAAAACGTTATCGTGTAAATGTATATAAGAACGATGACTCACCGGCAATCTGATTGATCTCGGAACGCTGCTGTAGGATCTCGTCGGCCAGTTTTTGAGCTGTGGGCAACACCTCTGTGTGGTGTTCGGATATCAGGTACTGCACGAACTTCTGCAATTGTTGTCGGTCCATTTGCAACAGGGTTTCTAGAAAACGATCAGGACAATAATGGTGGTTATTATAATTCCGTATCTATAACAGCTATATTGCTTATTCTTAATTAATAAATGAAATTACATAATACTTGATTTCACGAAATGGTGTCGTCATTGCGATAGAATAATATTTAATTATCGGATATTATGCGTAATGCCGACAGCTAGAGAACAACTAAATATTTACAATGACTACAAGGTTTAAGACGTTCGTGCTTTCTGTCTTGTTAAACGATTTTACGAAATAGATAAATAATTGGGCGTGGGAGATCTAATTCAATCCAATTATTATATTTCATTTAATTAAAAATAATATAAGCCTAGTGCTAGGTGGTTTAATCTTTAGCCATAAGTATAAGGCGATTCAAAGTCCCAATAATACGTAGTAAAATTTACTATTTATTACACTATATTATTTATCTACGTTAATGCGTTAAACTTTAACGTTCCCTTTACTTCAACGGTTAAAGCAAAAGAAACTTTTCCTGAAAAATGGTTACTTAAAATTTAATATGATGTTAAGGTCAAAAGACATTTCTTCAAGTATCGGCTGTCATATTATAACAACATAATGTCTTTCAGTCTCAATAAGTTTTTTTCTATATTAAGTACAATGTGATGGTTAGGTTTGTAAGTAAATTTAAGCCTAACAGACTGGAACAAAAGATGAAATAACCTTTTTTAAGATGCTATAATTTTATAGTGTAATATAGTTTATTATTTTTATAAATATTAAATAAATAAAGAATTATAAAATAGTGAGTAGTTATAATAGTTATAAACAGTTTTAATGTGTCATTAAAAATCATTTAGCATTTCCTGAAACTATATATGGTCAATTTATAATACATTAATAACCTAAACAAATTGGTAGAACTAATTTTAAATTTAACTTTTTTTTATTTTATAATGCTCAAAAATTTTTTCCTTTTTAATTTGTTGTATTTTTAAGAGTGATTTTATACACAGAAATTTTTTTTAATTTTTAAATTATTTAATATAGACGTAACTATGATATTATATTGAAAAAAAAATATTACATAATTAATCCATGCCGTACTGTACTACAATACTCTACGATTTTGTTTTTAAAATGAAATTGGTTTGAGTTCAAAATTTACTTTTTTTAAATCCATGTTTTCTGAGCCACTTTATAATCGCCTGTAATATATATATATATATGTTCAATATATTATAAGACTATATAATATATAATTAGTATCATATCCATTTTGGTTTTGGACGATAAGAGAAGAATGATGTCACGGAAAAAAATATGAAAATAACAATTTAAGGCGAATCCCAGGTACCTATTATAACACCAATTAGGACGAAAAATTGAATGTAATTCACTATCGATAAACTATGAACTTTATTGTAAATAATTTTATAAAAAGACCAAATCAATAACAAAAAGAAAATTAATCTAATCTAACATAGGCTGATTCATATTAAAAGAATTATCAAATTCCTCAACTATCGTCAATTTTACCCACAAACTTTTAGTTAATTCATACAAATTAATTTTAAGAACATTAATAGACATTGATATATAATGATTAAATAATGAATAAAAATGAATAGAAATGAATATGTTACCATATAACCTAAACAAACATTTTGTTTATAAGATCAATATTTTTGTTTATATTAAATAAACCATTGAAAAAAATAACTTACTTAATGCTGTAACTAACATAATAAATTATAAAAATTGTATGAAGATTGTCACAATTTTTTTTTTAAAGTTAGATTAGTAAATTGGAAATATTAACAAATATTGATAATACGTAACCCAGTTGAATAAACTGTATATAATCATAATAGTATATGTAAAAATGAACAGAGTTTTAAATAGATAATCAGTAAACGTTGTATAACTAATAAACTGACTATTTTATACATAACAGTAGTAAATACACTTCACATTTTTTTTAGCTATATTTAATGCTTAAAAAGCAATTTTTATGATATTAACACCTATAATGAAAATTTTTTATTTACGATCACATTGGTAGCTATTATAAAACTGCGTTATAAGTTTTTAAAGCATTAAAATGTACTAATACATATTATAAAGTTAATATGACAAAAAAAAATTAAAAAAAAAAATTTCCTGCTATTTATAGTTAACCATGCTATTGTCACCATGATTTTGAATAAGTAGTAAATACATAAGAAAAAAATATATTGTTTATTGTTGTATTATATCAAGAGTTTTTCAGAAATCTAACTTCTTATTTCGCAATAATAGTGTCCCATACACGAAATTCAGTTTAGGTAGAAGCATAATGTATATTTATATATTATGATGGCACTTTTCATATTTTTTGGCGACAACAGAATTTTATACGATTATTTTTATACTTCTAAAAATTTCTATAAATAATAGCAGTAAATAAAATAAATTAGATTGTTTTTATCCTATTTTCCAAAACGATGGTTCCCATTCGAAAAGGATATTGGATTCGCCAGTTTCGTTTTGGTCCCGTGACCAATCTATTTTGTTATCAGAAAAGAATGGGGAAAAACATTGAGGTTAAAACCAACGTACCATTGACATCTCCGAGAAAATATTGTCGAAAAAAAATTCATAGGTAGCGTTTATACGGGCGTTACGCCATGTGTCCGGGTGTGTATAATAAGTTTTACGCAACCCGTCGACGTCACCGCACTACCGAACCACGCCGCCACGAATGAGCACCGAACTGAAACGTCTTAAAAACGGAATTTTAAAGGCTTGTTTTGATGTGGTTACTTTTTTTTATTTAATTATTTATTTATTTTTTTTTTTTTTTATAACGATCGGTAAAATGCAATTACGCAACATCTATTTCATAAGTGAATCAAAAGTGTTTTGATTATTGTTTTTTTTCTGCAGCTTATTTTATTTTATTATCTTCTAGTAGCGTTTCGAAATTAAAAATCTAATAATTTTTCTCATTTTGTGACTTACGTTGTGCATGGCATGAGGAGATAGGGTGGTTAAAAATGTTTTTCAGTCGAATAAACAAGTCTCCGCGTGTCAAAAAGGAAATGTTCTATGTACTATAATGCATGTATATATATACATATATGCGTAAGTATATAATATAAAAGGAATCAATTGACTGGTGAAAATGTGAAATAATCAATATAAATATGCGTCAAATAACAATCGATCCCATTTAATATTCTTTAAGATCAGTAAACAAAAACAAAAAAAAACACTTAAATTTTCCTGTAAAAATCTTTTTAATACAACTAAAAAATATTTATTTATTTTAGTATTTAATTTTATTTAAAGTATTTATTGAATACGTGCATTTTTGTGGAGAAATTAATCTTCATACATATGTTTTATATTTATTTTTACTAAGTCGTTGTCCTAAAAACAACCTAGTCCGGTTCAGTCAACTTGTTTTGCGCTATTGGTCTTTTAATACTTTAATCAGTTCTATGTACGTGGGTAGATAATATAATAATATTATAGGTATATTTTCAACTACGGAAGTCGATATGACATTCGTAGGTATTTAAATTAGCATTTTAATATGAAAAACTATTACTCTCTAATTTCTGTATACTCAGGAATACCAACATGCACAACTAGTGTCATTACATGTATAATAAGATGTTTGAATGAATTGCATTGTTTACCGAAAACATCGAGGATTATTTATTTTCAAAGATTGTTAAAAATGAAACATTTTCCTTTGATACAACATAAATAACAATATCAATACTAGAAATTTAATTTAAAAAATAAATAATTATCTAAATAGGCTTTGATGTCACTATATATAAGACACAGACTTTTTCATAATACATGGTGATTGGAAACATACACGAACGTTTTTATAACAATATACCAGGTTATATCGATATTATTTTTATATATAGAAAAAAATAAAATATACAATCCAAAACTTAGAAAATAGGACTTTCCGGTTAAAGGCCGCTGTGAATGCAACAGTTATGAATTTTGATACAGACGCATTTAATCGAAAACATCCACATACATAATCATAGCGTAAGTAATAAGTATAACAAAGGTAAGGTAGTACATATTAAGGTGTTGGTATAAAGATTTTGTAAGCTTTAACCTACTCAAATTGTACGTCTTGTCCACGCATACGAGTTATGTCAATTTATTGTCATCGTAGTATTTTATTATTGGATGTATTTACCTACTCTTGTTTAATAAATATTTTTTTAAGTTGAAGTGAGCATAGTAGATTAGTGAGGGGGGTACTCTGCTAAATTTTGATTAAAGTTACAACTCATAAACTACTAGTCTGAATTTCGATTTTTTTGTACCGAAATACTCCTAAGAATATTCTGCTTCAGAATGAGAAATTAAAAATGTAAGTTAAAAATAATTGTTAATAACAAATTGTTATTTAAAAAAATAAAAATTTGAAAATGAATTACAATAAATAATATTTTTTAAAACGATAATGAATTTTGAAATAATGAGTGTTGTTTGATAAAAGAATCGCCCAGTATGTTATTTATTTTGTTTCTTTATACCATGATGACGATCAAAAGATGGAAATTTACGAATAGAACCATGGGTTTAGTTTGGCACATTTAAATTCACGGTTCTCGGTAAATTTATTCTTATACAATTTCGTTTAATTTTCTAACCAGAAGACATTGGTTTCCCGTTCAACAATAGCTGTACCTACCTAGAAGTCGTAACAACCGCTGGTCCGCGTATTGTTCATATTTATAATTATTGCAAACCAACAATTTTGATATTGTCTCGAAAACTTTCACATTTCGCGTGTGAACACCACATTAAGATAAATATATTATAATAATCTAATAATATTAAATCATTATAATATTTTTGTTTTGGTCGTCGTTCAAGAAATTGGACGTATTCGCAATTTTATTAATAGTTAAACATAATATCTATTTATTAAATATTCCTTCTCGATGTTATATGTGCTACGTGTATATTATAGAAATATGTGATATGTATAATGTATAATTGTCACACACATTACGGTTCATTTATGTAGTAATGTAACATTAAAAATTCACATACATATACTGCACGAATCACACGAGTTTCCGCGTGGCAACATAATAATATCAAATCACTGTTATATTATATAATAAGTAATAATATTATTATAAAAATTACGATGGAGTGTAATGCATATATATTATTTACCTGATATCGGGACCCTGAGCCTGACACTGTCCGCGTTCCGTATCCTGTACAAGGACAAGGCCACAACGTGGGGGCACCAGAATATGTCTTTTGTGTCGCAGCTGCATGTCACTGACGTTATCTTGCACCTGCATACAGACAAAAAAAAAAAAAAATCATAAAATCAAACCAAACAAAGAAACGTTGTAAAATTCGCAATCAAATTGGTCGCGTAACAAAAATAAAACACTTTCCATAATACCTGTATATACCGCTTGGAGGAGTAAGAGGAGTATACGAGGTTTTCTCTCGACTTGTATAGTTATTCAACCGAGTGAGATAATAATGATAACAATATGATTATGAATTTTCAATATAAAATAATTTTTAAATTTTTTAAAAAAGTATTTTTAACACACAATAGTTTGGCTTGTTAACATATTAAACAATTTTTTCCTCGATAAACATCATCGCGTAAAACAGTTATACCTTGAAAATAGAATGTTCCGAGCACATACAAAATACGTATTTATGTGTATATGTAAATATAATGTTAATAATAATAATATATTTTATGCAAATAATAAACGACACAGTGAAAATATAAAATGGTAAATCAACGTAATACGAGAAAATACCTATAATATGCGGCATGCGCGCGCATTGCCGCACTGCGCACGCTTGTTTTAAATTGTGTTTGTGTTCAAAATGAATGCTACATGAATATAATTAAAATTCAACTGCACAACGAAACCGAACAAAAAATTCATTTCAAATACGACACGAATGGACGCAGTAATCTACTAAAATCCAACCCTAGGTACTTAGCGTTGGGTTTTGTTAAGTAATTTAGATTATATATTATGTAATTTTGAAGTATTGTCGACAAGAAAGAAAATAACACTTCAAACGCGAATTATAAAATGATGGCCCATAACGTCGAGCGTTTGAAAAAAACAATAAATGTGGCACAGACTACGTAGGTATTTTTTCCTCCCTCTCGGACCTTGCAATACCATAATAATGTCATATAATATATAAAGCTATATTAAATGACATGAATATTACATAATATACGAGTACTAGAGTAATATTATGTAGGTACGTGACATTACACAGATGTACACAACATAATAAACGCACGTATATAATATCCCTATAACATCCTTTTAGTTTTGGTAATCACGAAACAGATACATTTTTGAGTGGCAAACCAGTCTTAAACCTATCTCCGTGAACAAATTAAATATAGTATAATAATATATATGATTTTAAAGTAGGCGTAGAGAATAAAAAAAATAAAAATACGACTACACAAGTATATTATAATATTATTGTGTATTTAACAGGAATTTAACAACATCGGATGACGGTATACTAACACGAGACGTCATGATAAATAACATAATATAATCGCGTAAATTATAATATATATGTAAACACATTCCTATATTATTAAGACAGTTATTGATTATATTAAAATAATTTTGATGTCATGCAGTGTTCTGAAATATTTATATCGTATATTATGTATTTTTTACCTGTCAAAGCTGACCGACACTTTGTGTGTTTTGTTTTCTTGGTCAGGATGGTTGTAAGATGGCGATCCTGGCCTCTGATTCCACACTACTCCGCTAAGATGAAATCCTAAAACACGACAAACGCATAATAGTTAGTGTCTATACAACGTCAAAAATTATAGAAAGAATAATATTAAATAGTACATTAACAATCACGGCACCGAGGGGGAGAGGGAGAGAATTTCGCGGAAATTATAATTTCAAGCCATATAAATAGATTTATACAATGCCGGTATATTCTTACGATGAGTCGCGCTGTGGTGTTGTAAGATACGAAATAACAACGATAAAATGTATAATGAATATGCGCAAGCGTATGATGCTAAAAATCATTTTTAAGCAAATTAAATATATATATATAGGCACCGTGCGTACATAACATAATATACATAAATAATATTACATATATATATATTGGAATAATACTTGTGCGCACGCGATTTTCACATACATTTGTCTGGGGGATTTGTGACGTACAGGGGACCCAAGAGGACTATTGATCCGGCATTGTAAATTATTCGGAACCCGGCAATAAAAGCAAAAGAAAAGAGCCGTGGACATTAAATTTTCAACGTTTGTTTTAGGGCTTTAATAAAAACGAGGTGCGGCTTTATTACTTGGATTATAAAACAATACAAAGATTGACACCGACGGATTTCCAAAGCCATTTTTTCCTTTCTTTTTACTATACCATTGCAGGGTTGTATATACAATATACTTTACCACGCAATACGACCCAAGGAATTTCAGAGAACCGACAGTTAAGTGAAAGAGCAAATGAAAAATGACTGCGTTGTTAATCAATACATAAAAGTTTTTTTGTATACATGCTGTACATAAAAGAAAAAGATATTTAGGGTCGTATACACGCCCAACAGAGTCAGATCGGTCGGTGGGTGTTGAGGGGTATTGGTGGAGGAGGTGGTCTACTGTCGCTGAGGTGCAGTTCAAAGGAAAAACTACAATACATGACCCTACAATAATAATACCTAAGCATTGTATACTGCTTATATATGTATAAGGAGGTCGAGATCTGATTTCCTCTCTTCGTCGTCGCGGGGCAAGTGATGGAATTTTCAACATAAAAACCACACTCATGTATTATACGAACGGTAATTATATAATCATATCACAAATATTCTCGAATAATACTTGCGTATACATATAAACATAAAACAATTTACAACGGTATACATATTGCGTTTGTACATAAATACTACGACGGCGATCCTGGAGACGACGTACACGTGTGCGGAGCTGAAGTTCGAAAAGTCTCCGACTGAGAAATACCTCCCCCCGTGGGCCTCCTGGACGCACTATATATATACGCCTAATGCCGAAGCGGCATTTGGGACGACGTTCTCCTCAGCCGCGCGTCGATTAGATCCTGCTCTGCTCCCGCCGGCAGGGGGGGGGGGGGCATTTGCGTTTTCGTTTGCCCGGACATAGGCGCATCGTCCTCACTCTTTTGCCGGTCGAGACCACGTGTAGAGCACACGTAAAATGATAACACTACGCATACGAAATAAGGCACCGGAGACCTCGTGTTGACGGACGTCCTTGACGCGTGCGTGTCTCGTGTGCGCGGCACCGGCAACGCAGCATCCCACACGCGGCGGGATGACAACGCGTCCGGTACAGATCATCTCGGCCGACCGTGTATTTACGTTTATTTATATTATATTATTATATCAGACGTGTGAATGTGTGTGTGTGTGTGTGTGTGTGTGTGCACGCGCACTCACACGTACGTGTCGTGATATAACGACAATGTGATAGGATTATTATGTACGACAAAAATAAAAAATAAAAAATGAGTGAAAAAAACAACAAAAGTGACGTCATTATTGTCGTGTCGGCTGCGGTGGCGGCGGACAGGTTCAGTGGCCGTGTTGCCGTGTCAAGGCCATCGTACCCCAGTTCGCCCGCTCACCCGCCCACCCACAACAGACCGTCGTCGTCATCCACCGCCGCGGTCGCTACTGCACCGCCGCTGCACCCGCATCGACGACGACGACGACGCCATCATCGCGTTTTTATATATTATACGCATACACATTGAATAACGTAAAAAAGTTACGGTCGTGTAAGACCGGCAACGTTGCACCGTCGCCGCGGAATACGACGAGGTGGTATTCTTCAAACGTACACACACACACACATATAGATACACATGTAATCACGACCACGGTCGACACGGGTCGTGAAAGGAAGTGGACGCGGAAAAGAACGAAAATTGATAGATATACAAAAAAAAGAAAATTAATTCCGACCGGTTGAACGGTGTTCGTTTTTGTGTTTGAACCCGAAAAAACCTTTTTGTCCGCTGTCTTGAACACGCGTAACTAAATAGCCGCGATCGTATGATAATAATATCGTGTCGTGTTTATACTCGTGATGATTATTTTAAGTACGTCGGCGCACGCCGGCGATGTCGTTCAGGGGACACGGGGCGATGACGAATAAAAATAATTATAATTTAAAAAAAAAAAAAAAAAAAAAGTAGTCGGTAATAATATTAATAACGATGGAAAAAAAGACACCGACCGTGCACACGAGTTTTCGGTGCGTATTGATCTCTAGTCCGAGGGGCGGCGCGATACTTTACACACCGCCATCGCCATCGCCGCGCTTGCCAGTAGGCACTTATGGGACTCTCTGGTCGCAGCGCCGCAAACGCGCACACACATACATCTGAGTACAACTTTTTTCGTATTATTTGTTTTACAATATCGTATTTTTCGTCAAGTAAGTGTCAAACGCACGATACGTTATAATATCGTTTCGTTCTCGTAGCCAAAATGCTACCTACATATAACGATATTATTCCCTACTATATAGTATAAAAGTGTAGGTGTGAGTACGGATATAGAACCAGACGAACGTTTAAAAGACTGTGTGTAGGTCGTGGAGATATTTTAACACACGCAGCCAGCCATGGAGTATATATACGATGAATGGACCGAAATACGCGAGAGGGGCGGTATATATATATATATATATATATATAGGCACGTAAATAGTATTGTAGACAACGTAGTACGTATTATATATATACACAGTATATACTATAAAGTAGTGTATATATATATATATATATATATATATACACACAAGAGTGAATGAAAACCGTGTCAAGGTGAGTGTGGCGGAGACGGTGGAGGGGAAGCATGGTCCGTATTACGGCGAGGTCATGCGATCCGAAGCGGAGAGATGAGTAGGCGGTGGTGGAGACGAGGAGGGAATGCTCCGTCGAACGGCGGTGGACAGGTTGGTGTAGAGAGCGGGGTTAGCGTAGTAAAAGTCGACGGTTTGTTGTTTTCGTTCTCTTCCGCGCGGCGGCAGTCTTTCGCCGTCTCTCTTTCCATTTCCGGAAAACACGCGTACGTCCCTTCTACCACCACCACCCTACCGCAGCACCACAAATATTCGTTCCATCCGACGATAATCAGCTGACTGCTGCACCCTCCCCTACATAATATAATACACGGGTGTAAATATACTGTATAATAATATAATATGTGCAATATAAATACGGAGAAAACTCAGAAAACAACGGTACATAGGAATTTACTGCAGCACGCTATTGCACCACGGGAGACAACGACCGTGAAGATTCGGCAAGAAACAGTGTCGTAATATTAAAATACATTATATCGTACATTTGGTCCATGAGAGTTTGCGTTTTTTATTATTCTTCTGACGCTATGTAAGCGAAGTTATCGTCATATTAAAAGGGGCGCCTAGCCGCTCTAAACGACAGACTTTGCCAAACACACACCACGTACATATTATATACACTGAGACTTTGGCCTCGTCGACTACGATTAAGCACACGATAATACGTGGCGCGCGTTCCCCGAAAACACCTAACGCTACAACCACGCACCTATCCACACCGCGGAGTGCCAAACTTTGAGTTCTTATCTGGGAACGCGCACTCCTGGAGCTGCCAAACTTCGAAATCGTATTGCCAAACGACGATGTGACCCTCTCTTTATAAACTGCCTCTGACTCGGTGCCCCCTTCCACCCCATCTGGCCACTTTTCAATAATAATCCTTGCCAGCGTTTTCTGGCCAAAATCATTCGAACCCCCACCTCCCCGTTAGCCCACTATACCCACCATTGCAGCGGCCGCCCGGGGCCGGGCCCGGTCCGCATGTACGTTTTTAAACGGAAACCTCGGATATTCGGGCCAACAACGCCCGATGCCAAATATTCACAAAGTATGTCTGGAATAAGAGCCAAAAAGCTTTAAATATACGATGGTTCCGTTTGTTTTTGATCGGGAGACTTTTGAAGGATATGGCACGCACGGCGAATATACACGTACTTTAATACACGAAAATCGCCGACCACGTAAACATGCTCAAAACAAAACTCGCTCGAAGATCCATTTCAATTTCGCTTGCACGGTGCCCCACGGAGAAGTGATACTCGTGACTTGAAGTTGCACATAAAATTATATATTTTTATCGGGAGATAAAATGACGCGACTACATTGAGTGTGTTCACGCCATCAGGCCATCTGTATATACACAAGTGTGCGTTTATTTTCAGGAAAATAATTGTTATTATTGTATAAAAACATCACTAGCAGAACTAATTGTACGTTTTTGAATGTCGTAAGTCATAACGTATTTGGTATTATACATGTAATGGTCCGACTTTAGGTACAGTAGATACACATGTAGTTTAATAGTATCTCGCAAAAAACAATGCGAATTACAGCTTTATATTATACAAAAGACGGACGAAGCGAACCGGTGCGGAACGCATTAATTTGGTAGCATTAGATAAAAAAAACACAAAAAAACATGATGGCCGATAAGAATTTTTAACGACTGTTAATTTGCAAGCTTAGCCAATGTTTTATGACTGCCAAGACGTATCATTCATTTTTTGGCCGAATTTCCAGGTTCGATAGCGCGGGTACTCCCAAAAGCAGAGTTATAGCCAATTGGTATTTTTTGTGATGCGTGTGTTAGACAACAAGCACACATAATCGAATAGAAGATCCAGAATAAATGTGAATACAATATCACAGAACATTTTATCACGCACC